GCTAGACAGCTGTCACAGTCAGATTCAAGTGCACATACACACACACACACACACACACACACACACACACACACACACACACCTATGACTCCCTCTAGCAATGGATTTTTTGGGGCAGGGCCCACAGCTTATGTTTGTTAAAGACTGGCATAACCAGAAAAGTTCAGTGGATCTGCTGTTGCACGTGAAGCAGCAGCTCAGAGGAGACGTACCAGGGCGGATTAGAAACACACTTCCTCTTGGAATATGCCCAAACTAGTGACCACAATGACCACTTTGATAGTAAATGCTGCAGGAGGTGTATGACCATTTTTTGCAGCTACTCCAGCATCTACTCCAACCCTGTTTAAAGCATTTGGCTGGTTTCCTAGACTGGAATTAAGCCTACTCCCTAAATTAAAACAGCACGCACTGGTTATATGTAAAGCAAAATGTCCTTGCCTATGACTAGACTTTATCCCTGTCAAGAAACCTGCCCTTTTGATCCACAGTGATAATGAGAGAGCAGCCTTCATGCCCCACAGTGAACATACAGTGCATGCAACCTTGGAAAGAAGTCTCATCTTGTTTTCTCTGTCCTCAGGCACAGAGGCAGATTGCAAACACATTAAATAGTAATATGTAATTTATTCACAGCCAAAATGTTTTTCTTTCGACTTCAAGAGGAGACATGACATGAAAGCACGCGCAATATCGTTTCTCTATTAATCTGTTTTCGTCGTTATTACAGAGATGTTGCGCCTTAATGAACAGCCAAAGGAATGAGCTGCAGTCACACCCACAGGGGGCAACATTTGAGACCAGATTACCACTCAGTTAAGGATACTGCCAAATTAGCTCTCACACTAATGTTGTTTCTTATTTAATTTTGAGCTATAGAGTAATGGGTATTTCAGGGCTGGGCAATATATCAATATTATATTAATACTGTGATATGAGACCAGATAGCCTTAGATTTTGTCCTTTCCTGGTTTTAAAAGCTGCATTTTAGTAAAGTGATGTAATTTTCTGAACATACCAGACTGTTGTAGCTGTTCTTTTATGTGCATTTACCCACTTATTCTTTACATCCACATTACTGATGATTATTAATCAAAAATCTCATTGTGTAAGTGTTTAGTGGAAGCAAAAATAGACAACCCTGCAATATCAATATCAATGTATTTGGTCAAAACCATAGTGATATTTGATTTTCTCCAGATGGCCCAGCATTAAGGCATTATGCTGCAGGCACCAAGTCAAAAACATATGTTCCACATCATAACAATACTAAGGTAACATCTCCCATGACAATAAAACAGTCTATCAACAATATTTATCCCCATTTATGGTTTAAATGTTTGATAGAGGAAGAGAGACATGGAGAAACAGGAACAGGAAGTAGCCTCGGTGACACCTGCATCGCAGGTACAAGATCAAACACACTTCATCACGTGTGTTTAACCTGCTTCAAATATCATTATTATTATTTACTGCTTAACTCAAACGGCTCAGTATCACAGTGATAAAAGACATGACATACTACTTGTTGTGTGCACACACAGGGCAGCCTGCGCCGCTCGGTCCAAATAAACAGCTGCTCTACAAACAGGCAAAAATAAACGACTTCCTCATATAACCGCGCTCAGCAAACGACAGAAACACACACATGAAGGCTGCAGCATCGATCACACACACTCTGATCGTGTGTTTACCGGGTTATAAACTTCAAGGCTGAGGACCTGCTGCAACAGGTGTCACCGTCAGGTCTTCCGCACTTGCACTCACCTTTGTGTAATATAACATCCACAGCTCGTACAGCCTTTCCTTCGATGCCATCCCGCCGCCCTTATGGTTGCTCATATCTCCCTTTATTTCTCAATAAATCATGAAACTGGTGGGCATGGTCAAAGCCAGGGCTGTTTCAAGTTGTTTCCCAAAGGCAGGAATACGCGGCACGCTCCTGTGAACCATTCCTGCAAATCCACCAGGCGCAATAATCCACGCAGAAGTGCTCTCCGCGTCGACACGTAAAGTTTATCAGAGTGGCACGAAAAGGCAAAACATGACGGTGTGAGTGTGGCCGCGGTGCTGTCGCTGTCGATATTATAAAAGCAGGAACAAAAATGCGTGGAAATGCATGTCAGGAGGAACACCCATGTCCGCGTCTAGAGCGAGCTTGTTGCTGTATGATTCCTATTGGAGAGAGTTCCCACGGAAGCGACAGATGCCATCCGATCAACTCCGAGAAATGACTGCCCATGTGGATTCAGTCGACAGAGGTGGACTGTCTGGTGTGTGTATGTGTGATGAGCACATTGCCAACTAGAGTCTGACTATTAACAAGGCAACACATACAGTAAAGAGTTGACTGTGGATCATATGCTCACAGGTAGGCTGATATTCTTAAAGACACACACACACATAAACACAGCAGCAGCCTCCTCCAGGACTAATAACTGACAAAGGAAAGTTGAAGTGTAGCTACTTGCATGGACAAACATTTTTCTATTGGCTAATCATCACAAAAAGAAAAGCAAAGAAACGACAAAAGAAAATGTTGCAGCATTTGGGCAGGATATGGCAGCTTATATGACCACATACTGTATGTGCAAGTATACAATGTAGTATTAAACATGTTGTGCAAATTCTGTAGACTGAGGATGAAGCTGTGACTTTGCACAGCAAGTCACATTCAGTACTGATAACATGAAGGCACACAAACACACAACTGAACTTCAGACTCTAACAACAGGACTATTACTAATAGTTCCTGGTGCATTAGTGGACTGTAATTAAAGGTTATTGCACTTAATGTTATCATATTTCTGTTGAAGACTGTCAGTCAACAGTCATGTAATCACTGAGGGACATTGATACAGGCGATCAACAAGTAAAATATAGTGATATATTCAAACTATTACTTCAGTAAATGTCTGGAATTAAATGCACACAATTGTCAAAGTTTTAAGTTTTCCTCCCTCCCTGAAAGATGTTTTTTTTTTTCAGGTTTACTGGCCCAACTATTGCACACAGTTGGGTGATTTCTCTCTAAGCCTAACAAAGCATCATATTTTATGAGTTTATCCTATTATTTTTTATATGTTTAGCAAATAATAGGATAAACTCATATTTTATGAGTTTATCCTATTATTTTTTATATGTTTAGCATGTTTTAAACACCTTGTATAAGCTAACTTGTTAAAACTAACACTGGACTTTTCTCTAAAAAGACAGACTAGACATTTAAAAGAAATATTATTATTCTAAGTGGTCCTGGTGGTGTTTGGCCTTGCACTATACTGTCAACCTTCATGGTCTGATAACAGAAAAATAATAATGATAAAAGATATGATAAGACACATACTGTGTGTAAACAGTACTTTTGGTTTTGAATAAATTTATCATAAAACTGAAACTTTTTTCACTAAACATCATATTTTACGAGTATATCCTATAATTAAAAAAAATATATAGCCTATGTTTAGCATGTATGTAAAACACCTTAAGTGTCAGTTGCCTAAAAAATATAGTAACACTATACACCAGTTCTCTCGACAATTGATGTGTCTGTTTTACTACATACTGCATACTAGGTATAAACAGTTGCATTTGTTTTAAATAAGTTCTATCGTAAAACAGACACTTCCTGTAAAAGGAGTCAGGTTTATGGGCCCAGCTGTTGCAAACAGTAAAGTAATTTCACTGTACACATAACAAAGCATCATATTTTACAAGTATGTCCATATATTTTTAATATGTTTAGTATGTATGTAAGTATGTAAAACGCCTTGTTAAGTGTCAGTTGCCTAAAAATTGTGCTAGTACTGGAAAAATGCACCTTTCCTTGTAGAACAGGTGGTGTATCTATTGTACTGAGTGGATATTACGATATGATAAGACACACTGTATACTGAGTATAGACAGTTGTATATGTTTTAAATAAATTCTGTCATAAAACAGACACTTCTTGTAAGAGGAGTCAAGTTTGTTGGCCCAACTATTGCATACAGTCTGGTGATTTCTCTCTGAGACCATAACAAGCATCATATTTTACCAGTATATCCTATATTTTTTGTGTGTTTTGCATGTTTTAAATGTGCAAAATGTGTTAAGAGGCAGTTGCTTAAAAATGTAAATAAATTCTATCATAAAACAGACACTTCTTGTAAGAGGAGTCAGGCTTATTGGCCCAGCTGCTGCATGCAGTTGGGTGATTTTGAAGCCTAACCAAGCATCATATTTTATGAGTATATCCTATATGTCTTTCATATGTTTAGAATATTTTGAATATGCAAAACATCAAGTGTCAGTTGCTAAAACTAACTAAATGTACTTTTCTTTAGACAGACAGAGTAGGCAGACTAGACAAATGGTGTGTCTGTTGCACTGAGTGGAAAGTTTACATTATAGACAACTTTTTCCTGTCTGCTAGACTATAGCCTCTGTGGGCCTATTTCTATAAAAGGAGTTATATTACTCTCGATGGACCACTAACACGTGTTAGAAACAGATAATTTATTGATTTATTAGTTTCATGACCTTAAACCTTGTTAGCACCCTTAACACAAGCAGGTTTGTGTTGTCACACACTTGGCCATTAGGAGGATGGACACAGTGAAGCTCGAGGCAGCTGTATTACCATGGCAATGGCCTACATTCCTAACCAGGACCTGACCATCAACAGGCGGGACAGTGTACCAGTGTTATATGTATTATGCTTAATGTATAGGTCTGATAATAGTCAATAATAGGCTAAGTATGTTAAAATACTATTCAAATCTGGCCTATAAGCTACTGGAAGTTAAATAATTTTAAGTAGTCTACTCCATGTGCCAATACATTCAACATCCCGATATAAGCTGTTTAAAATGTGGACAATCTATTATTATAAGTAGGACTTTGATATTTAAATATGTATGCTTCAACTTTAATCACCCTAACTAATGATGTTGAAGAAATGTGTCCACAAAACACAACACATGGCCACTGCGATCGATGTGCACGACGATCGTCTTCACATCCTCAGCCAGGACGGTTAATGGATTTCAGAGAGCATCAAGTGGCGTGTAGAACCAAACATGGAGCGAAATGTTGGCTCTCTACAGGAGGAGGCCCTGAATAGAAAAGAGAGGTTAAAAGCACTAAGAGATAAAAAGATTCATGTAAGTGACTTGTCTTGTGGTGTCCTACTTCTGTTAAATGCAACTTAATCCGTAGAAAACGCCTTATTTTGTCAGTGAGGTACCGTTAGCCGAGTTAGCTTGTAGCTATCGTTAGCACATTCATGTGCTCGATGAATGAGTTTGGTTCGTGGGCTTGTTGTTGTGTTGTGAGAGGATGCTGGTGTAGACATTTAATTCAGGTTTATATTATATTTAATTTTTAATTTTTACAGCGTGTTTTTAGGTGTAGTTTATCAGGTGTGCCAGTGCAGCTAATTTGCGAAGCTAACTTGTTTGGACTTCAGAGACAGTAACAACATAATTTACCTCCAAACAAGCATCACAGTTATTGTAGTTTACGTTTTACATGAAGTAGACAACGCATTGTTTAACTTGCTCCTAAGATCTGGTAGGAGCCTTTGTTGACACCTTTGCTATAGGGCTTTTGTAAAGTACCTACCAAACAGAAGTCACATCTTCAGACACACCTCTCATCAAGGCACTTGATGGCTTTTTATATCCACATATCAAATACAATACATCTCCACAGACTGGTAAAACCAGAACTGAAGCAGCAGCTATATTTATAAATAGGGATGTCACTGGTCGAAAGGTCTTTGAATACAATGGAACACAGAGACATTTCTCAGATGAGGAAATTGGAGAATTATGTTAAATAATCAGAAAGTCAACAGGCAGTGTCTAGGACACTAAAAGAAGCACCACAGCTTCTTTTACAAACATATTGCAATAAAATAAAGGCTGTTTCCAACTTTTTTTCTACACAGGCCCAACTTTTGTGAGTTGTTTGTCAAGTTCTTATCCATCTACAATATTTCTGAAGCTGAAAATAACACTAGCTATGCAGGAAGAATAAATAATTTCACTCAGTGATGCACTCCAGCCTGATTACAGTCATGTCACCAGTGCCACAGTGTGAGTGAACCAGATCTGATTTTTATCTACTTGTGTCCAGCTCTTCCAAAGAGGGAAAATGTTCATCATCATTGCAGTCAACATTTGTTACAGCCATTTACTTTTATCAAAACACTGATTTATTAATGGGGTGAGGATTGAAGTAAAAATACATCTTGATTAAACCATCAGTGAACACAGGGGGATGGCCTTCCTGTGCCACACAGTTGTAAACTGGACAGTGTGTGCAGTAGGGGTGTAAGAAAAAATGATACACCTGAGTATCATAATATTATGTTTTGTGATACAGTATTGGTTTTAAAAAACATTAGCAATTTTGAATGAATAGTTAAATGCAAGATTTTTTTGGAGTGGTTCATTTTGTGTTGTGATCTATCTTCAGTCAGTTGACTCTTCCGCTCCAGTGTAATAACATATAGCGTAAACAAAAAGCACACAGGCGTAACACATGTAGGCACAGTCTCAAAGCGCACACTGCTAGCTCCTAAAATTAGAATATATCTTGCTATATATGACCTTGCTTACAGTATAGCAATATATTGAATTGTAACCTCTGTATCGTGAAAAGTATTGTATTACCAGATTTTTGCCACATAACCCAGTGTGCAGTGAAGTAGGAACCTCAGATAGTCAGATGAAAGAAGAAAATAAATTAACTTTTACTGCTGTAAAATAAAGATTTGCATTAAGTATAGAGATCATGCTTTTGCATGAAAGGTTCCGATGGAAAAACAGTGTAAAAACTGTTTTAAAAGTAGCAGCCAAACATAGCAACACCACAAAATACCAGCACATCTGTGCGGGAACTACCACACACCGCACAGAAGGTATGTTTAAGAGGTGTTTCATAATTTTATCTTATCAGATGACGTATGCTGAGCTAATTTTGCTTGCAATAACTGTACTATCAAACTTTTAAATCAACACACACCATTGTTCTTGACCCATTTACTACACTGGACTGAGAGCACGTTGTTGCACCAGAGTTTCAGTTGTTTCTCATTACTAGGGTCTCCGCTGTCTGTGTTCAAATATTTAAACATTACACAGTTATTCTGCTCTGCTATGACAATCTTTCTGTTCTGGAAATGAAACAGGAAACGCTGTTTAATGTGCAAGCCACCGTTTTGGCAGTTACCAGAATGTGTTTCACTAAGCTGGCGTTGAACAGAGGCATACTGGCTCGACTAGCAATGTTTGATAAACGGCTGTTGACATTCCTGAAGCTGGGGGTTGTTTTCCTTTTGTACTGCACTTCAAGAATGAGTCAGTCCCCCGAATTGTTCTCGCAGGTGGACAGGAAGCCTCTTCAGGAAAATGCAAGATGGGAGGGGTTTGATGTCCTTTGTTACACTTTTCACTTGGGGTCTCTATGTATTTATTTATTTATTTATTTATTTGCATTTCTGCAAGCCTATGTCATGATCTGTTTCCCCATTGTTTATGTGTGGTTAATTTAATCGTGTTATTGATCGTACAATGATGTTTTAACAGGGGCGAGAGCAGGAAGATGGGGAGCCAGAGAGCAAAAAAGCTTCATTAGAGGAGACTACTGAAGAAAGGCACAGGTTGGTGGTACATCACACCACACACAAGAATGGCTGCTGTTTGTTTGTTTTTGTTACTCAATCATATTTTTCATAAAAGCATGTCATGATTTCTTCAACTCTTCCTCACTTTTGCTTGCCCCCTCAGCTGAGGTTATTTGAACTGCGCAAACGGAACTAATACTGATATGGAAGTACAACATCAGAGCATTTATCTGCCCTTTATCTGAACACCATCTCCTTGTAACACAGTGCATGTCTCAGTGCAGGTCATGAGATGCAGTGTTTACACTGGGCTGGATCACAGCCTCGTGCTATTAGCTGCTCAAATATCCTGCAGCTTACTCAACTTTGTGTGTTAGTCGGTAGGAAGGAGCAGCCATCTTTCCTGTCCTACAGGACCTTTTTTCCATTGTTTATATTTAATGACTGTAGTGAGGGAGTGCCGCTGTATTTCCTCCAGTCCAACAGGACAGATCTCTCTCATGAGAATGAAAATAGCTGCAGAGTTTAAATGCTTAATTTAGACATTTGTCAGTGGATAGAAAAGTACTCTGAGTTTTTTTAATCTGTGCTTTGCTAAGTCAAGACACGCATTCATAGCAGGGTGTGAGTGTAATGTATCTTGTAATTGGTATTAAAATTTCATGGGAGATCGAATTGCAAAACCCAGGCATGACAGAACACGACAATCAACATGTTTGTCCTTAAGTTATTGCTACTCAAATGAATGATCTCTGGAAAAAAAAAAGTGGAACTTAGACAGACAGTTTTAAAGCTCCATGTGGGTTATGATACATTCCTCTAAACTATTTCACAAAAGGCACCAAATGTACAATGCAGCTTTTCCTGTTATATCTTGTTAGGTGTTGTCAGGGCTGCTTCTTTTCTTTTAAGGCAGATATGTAATTAGATTTTAAATTCTTTAAAATGGCAAATACGATTTAAGGAAGTTCAAAAGCCTTTAAAAATTTGATACAACTATTTGTTAACTGTAACAATCTCTGTGGCTGATTGATGTATGGAGCTATTTTTGCTCCAGTGAATGGCAGGTAGCTTGATATCTGTGTAAACACAATGTGAACATTCTGCTGCACCCCGTCCTCAGCCACAGTTCACTCTAAACATTTTGAGAGAGCCACACTTGGGTCAGTGCTCTGAATTTATCACTGGCTCTCTTTGATGCCACAGTGTGCTTGAAGTGTAAATGTGTAAACACACTTTAAAGGGTTGGATGCATCAAACTAAGAGACAGTTAAGGAAAAAGGAGTGATGTCAGACTCTGACTTTGAAGGCATAAAAGTGTACATGTACACTCTGTACAGTACATTAAGTTGGGTTTTTTTGGTCTTGCTAGTGATGAAACATTTTTCAGTCTCTGTCTTCCCATCTGTACTTTAATTTATAGCAAAATATATTGACATTTACCTGCCGTACAGTGTGAAATTCAGTTTAGATATTGATAGTTGTCATTAGGTAAGGGAAATCTAAAAATACATGTAATAAATAAATGTATTCACAGATCTCATATGATGTATTTTAATGTTATGGTGACCCCTTGGCTTTCCCTTTCATGCCACAATTTCTACATGAAATGTTAAAATCTAATGACTGCAGTTCCTTGAATGGCCACTTGAGGCTGGCTCAGAAAGTGCGTTAGTCCCCATAGACACCTATGCTAAACTGCCGAAGAAATAAACATGTTTACAGCTGGGTACATGAAACGGTTTAGGTCTCAAAAGCTAATTTCCCCCTTCATAACAACTGTATAGGAGGTACATTTTTATGTAACTCACTAGTTTCAGTTTTATAAAGGCTCATTCCTTCCCAGCTCTACTCAGTCGTTCAAATATGGTCAACTCTAACTCCAAATGTCAGAGAGAGCAATGGCCAAAATGCCAAACTCAAGGCTTCAGAACAGGAGGCCACAAACCAATGGGTGATGTCACAGTAGCCTTTTCCATAATTTTTTTTCCATCAGTCTATGCTTGATGCTAGTCATGGCTCTCAGAGGCTGAAACTTGTTGATTTTGGTGACTCCCTGTTACCTTACACCAAAACGTCCACTTCCCCACACTACAATGCATAATGCAGCCCAATGGCAATTATTCAATAGTAATTAATTGCTGGATTGTGCTGAGTTCATTCATGCATCTGGTAGAAGAACTTTTTTCAATTTATTGACCTTTTTTACATTTCTATTTTTATATAATTACAAAATGATCTGTGAAGGCTGATAAATGATAGCCTGTAGTTAGTGCTGGACACACGCCTTCTGGATACTCCAAGATCCTAGCTAAAAAAAAGTGACTTGTGGCTTGCTGTCAGGGCATCTGGACTTTGTCATCTTTTAATTCATTTTTAGGCCTTTTCAACAGCCACTGATGTAGTTTCCTTCTGTTTGTTTCTTTCGTTTTATCAGAGTTAGTGTTTTAGTTCCTGCCATATTTATTTCTCAGGGGTTTCTGTTTCACTTCAAATAAATATAAGTAAGTGTTAAAAAAACCCTCACATTTTATTATGTGGTTCACTGCAATTGCAATATGAGTGGCAGGAGAATTCAATTCAAGGATTAGATAGATAAAATGAAATATTCCTCTTCAGGAGAGACTCAGGAGGCATAGAGAAAGATGTGTGAACTAAGACTGGCCCTCAGTCAGCCAAAGGCAGAACATGACTAGCATTCCTGCCCATACCCATACAAGGCTTCGGTCTGTCTGTTGGCAACAGGGGTGTGATGAATGTATCAAGGGTGTACCCTCTCAAGCCTCATCACAAATCCATGTTAAGCTCATGGCAGCTGATAACTCTTGTGGTCAGACAATAGTTTACCTCTGCCTCTGGACTTTCTGTGTAATCTGCAGAGACGTCAGCTAAGATTGCCAAGAATTCCTCTGTGTAGAGATGTGATGAAAGACTGCGTAATTCAACATCACGGAAAGCATTCCTCAGCTGTTTGCTGCTCTCCGCAAGTCTGTGCCCAGGAGCAGGTGGAACATGGAAATCAGACGTGTTCATAGGAATAAAGAGGGACATTATACCCGACCTCCCCTAGACATTAGATGTGCAGCTGTGTAGGGTTTGCAGATGGTCTTTTGTGCTCTGTAATCTCTAGTGGAATAAATTTGGCTACACTGCCACCTCCTGGACGGTCACAAGAGTGGGGGGAAAAAGGCAAGGCAAGTTTATTTATGAAGCACATTTCAGCAACAAGGCAATTCAGAGTGCTGTACGTAATATATCAAAAGCATCGAAGAGTAGTGCAGAAGAAACACTGTTTAAGAGGGCATTTAAATGCAAATGAAAACTTAAAGAGATGGAGAACAGAAAATAAATTCAAGTTAAAAAAATACTAAGACAGGTATAAAATACAAAAATAAATGTTTCAGTGCAGCATAAGAAATAAATAAATATTTGACTGAATAAAAGGCAGCGGCAAACAGAGAAGTCTTACAGCAGACCTGCAGTTTTCTGGGAGTTTGTTCCAGATATGTGGTGCAAAAAACTAAACGCTGCTCTCCATGTTTAGTCTTGACTCCGGTGACACAAAGCAGACCTGTCCCAGAAGGCCTGAGAGGTCTGGATGGTTCGTACTGTAGCAGAAGGTCAGAAATGTATTGGCCACTAAACCATACAGTACTTTATAAACCATCAGTAGTATCCTGAAATTGATTCTCTGACAGACAGGAGGCCATTGTAAAGACCTCAGAACTGGAGTGAAGTGATTTAGTTTCTTGGTCTTTCTTAGAACTCAAGCAGCAGCGTTCTGAAGTTTTGCCAAATCCGGCTGAGACACAAGTCCTTTTATCCTTGATGCAGTCTTAAGGTGATAGTAGGCGGACTTTATAAATGTTTTATTGTGGCTATTTAAATTCAGGTCTGAATCCATGACTACACTCAGATCTCTGACTTGGACTTAGGTTTTAAAATTGCTGGCTGAAGCTGAGGACTGACTTTTATTTGTTCCTCATTGGCTCCAAAAACAATGACCCCAGTTTTATCTTGGTTTAACTGAAGAAAATTGTGGCACATCCAGTCGTTGATTTGATTTGTTCACTGCACTCAGTCAGAGCTTGTATTTGACCATAGTCCCCCGGTAATGTCAATTTGTGTGTTGTTTGCATAATTATGGCAACATATTTTGTTGTTTTCCATAATCTGAGCCAATGCAAGCATGTATATGTTAAACAGAAGGGGCCCCAAAATGGACCCTTGAGGAATTTTTGTCATCTCGGATGTATAATTATCTATAGACACAACATAGTTCCTGTCTGTTAAGTAGGATGCAAACCCAGTCACTCACCCTCAAAAAGAGTGAGAGAACATTGCTGACTGATAATGAATTGTGATTTCTGTCCTCAGAGAGCTGAAGCTGAGGAATTATACTCCAGAGGATGAAGAGCTGAAGGAGAGGCAGGTGCCCAAAGCCAAACCTGCATCAGGTAAGAACTGTTCCATCATAAACAAGCTCTGAAAAACAATAACTCAGATGGTTGTGACATTACTTTGCTTTTGAGTGTTGTTAATATGACACAGTATTTATATTGCGTCTATGAAGATCATAGCTACATAGATTAGCTACAGCACAGCACCCCTTGAGTATCACAGATTCCTGCTGCTATATCACATATCATTTATGACCAGTGTTGTACAAGTTACTTAATTGAATTACTTTACTGATTACAGCATATAAAAGTAATTAGTTACAAGGGAAAGTAACTTTTGTGGTTCTTTTAAGTGTCTGTCTCTCAAACACACTAGACACAAAACGAAGGGACTGAACACTGTTCACCCGAGCTGTGCTACACTACAGGAGAGGTTTGATCATAACCGGGGAAAAATCTGGGGAATATGCTGCGTTTGTCTGCTCTGATCAAGACATTTAAATTTCAATAATTGCAATTGCATTATTTATTTGATAAAGTGTTACATGTCTAGTTACTGAAAAAAGTAGTGGAATTACTCCCAGTACTGTGTATGACTGATGATAAATATTTTTTGTTTGCAGTGGAGGATAAAGTAAAAGACCAGTTAGAAGCTGCTAATCCAGAACCCATCATTGAAGAAGTGGTGAGTGCTCCTTTCTGTCTGTGATTTCCTTTTCTTGAAGAAGCAGAGTAGTTGTTGCAGGTGCCACATTCAGCTGTTTTCTTTCCTCAGGATTTGGCCAACCTCGCCCCAAGAAAACCAGACTGGTAAGACCTTGTAGAAATAATTTTCCAACCTGTATGGCACACAAAATCTTGGTACAATTAAAGATAACTTGTTACTGACATTGTCTTTTTCTGTTGTGATTCTGAATGAAGGGATCTGAAACGTGATGTGGCAAAGAAACTGGAGAAGTTGGAGAGGAGAACACAGAGGGCCATCGCTGAGCTCATCCGTTAGTATTTCCCATTTCACATTCTTGCGATTTATCACAGAATTTTCCTGACACAACAGTGACAAGCACGTCTGAGCTAGGCGTGAATTATCAGGCTAATTGCTTTGTGGTTTCCAGACTCCAGAGAGGCTTGAAGCCATCTGATAACATCAATGGTGCGATTCCTCCACTGATGTGTGATCCACATTCTAAAAATAGGCGTGAGCTCTCGTGGAGAACACAGAGCAGTCAAATGTGAAGGTTTTCCCCTCAATTTCATGTGTGACATTGAGAGTACAGGTAGCCATGTTGGGTGCTAAGGTGTACTCACAATAACCTAGTTAATATGTTTTTGTTTACATGCCGTTAAAAACTGACACGTCAACTATTTTCAATTTGGTTTTAGCTTTCTGTGCAAACTAAGAGAGCATTACAGCTACATTTTAAATGTTTAGGTTTATAAATTCTGATTATTAGCAGCAGAGTGTGCTCTCTGTTGGTTGACAACAGGGATGCTTGGTTACAGGGTGTCTATGGTGCACTCAACCTGAATAAGACCTTAACCTTGAGTGTTTATGTGTCCAGGAGATCGTCTTCGAGGCAGCGAGGAGGAGTTGGCAGGAGCGGTGGGAGCAGTGGGAGTGGAGGAGGGAGACTCAGACTGAATCTGAGATGTGACTGATTAAAAAAGAGGAGACTACAGAGGGATGACCTCAGTTTACTGGGACTGTATTGTCACATCTGTGTTGTGCTCAGAGAGACAGCTTCTTTTATCGCTGCAGGGAGTAATGTTTTCTGTCAGGTCCTCATATTCCCACCGTGAGTCCTGCTTTGTATTGTTTGTATGGCATATGAATATGCCACAGAACATTCTGTAACCATTGATATTTTGTTGTAATTGTTTATATTTCTAGTAAAATAATGTAAATTTTTCAAATGCCCGATCATTATTTTCATGAATATTTTCTCTATATGAAAAGTAAGAAGGGGTAAAAATCCTCTATCACGCCATAGTTTACACCTATCAGTCAATCAGTCCTGGCATTTGACATGTACAACCCACCCAGATATTTGTTGCAGTCCAAGGACACCCTCTCATGGATATTTAGTGCTCAAGCAGCCAACCTGGCCTCGAATTTCCCCAGATCCCAATCTGATTGAGAAGCTGTGGGACAGCTTGGTACCCAAGAGGTACCCTCAATCCACAGTGGGGCCTCCTTGGATCAGATTTGGCTCTCACCTGTTGAGACATGAACACAGGACCTCTGGGGCGTGTCCTGGAGCGTCTGGCAGTGGATAAGGTTGGGTGCCAGCACGTCCCACAGATGCTCGATAAGATTAGGATCTGGAGAATTTTGAGGCCAGGCTGACACCTTGAGCTCTTTATGACATTCCTCGGGCCATTCCTGACCATATTTTGTGGTGTGGCATGATGCATTGTCCTGCTGGTGGGCCATGGCCATTGGGGACTGCCGTTGCCATAATGACGAGTACTTGGTCTGTAACGGTGTTTGGGTGTGTGGTGCGTGCCAAGTGGCATCCACATGAATGCCAGGACCCAAAGTTTCCCAGCAGAACATTGAATTGTAATAAGATGATCAATGTTATTCACTGCACCTGTCAGTGGTTTTAATGTCGTGGCTGATCAGTGTATGTGACTCTGTACCTTGATATTAATATATATTGCAATATGGCACATTTTGTGGAAAATTACTGTGTCAAGCTTATACTAAAAAAATCATAAAATACTTAATTCAAAATAAAGTAATTTAAAATGGAAATATATTTCCATAAAGAAGTTTGCCAAATTGCCCAAAACGACCTCATAAATCCAGAGATGTTCAAGGGATAGTATTGCATTTATATGGCGTCATTATTTTTTAATTGTTTAGTCACTGAGCATCCAAAGATAAGAAGACGCTTTTTAAATACATCATATTTATTCAGAAAATGATCTGAAAATTCATGATAGTTACTGCAACATTAATGTCTTGCTACTATTGAATCATGTTGATCCAATGGGTGATAAATAGAGGAACAATGACAAACAGATAACAATAAGCTGTTTTTCGTATGACATTCACTGGTGATATCTATTGCAAGCACCTAAATACCTGTTCTGAACTGAAATGCTCCTATTCGTTCACAATAAAGTGCATGTTCTGTCTATCTAGGCCCACACTGTCTCCTCAGCGAGGAGGATATTGCACAGTTCATTTTATTACCGCTCTTGATACAAGGCCACCTGCTCCCTTCAGCTTTCCTCTGTCCTCAAAAGGCAAATAATCAAGACTAAAGAGAAACAAAGCATTCAATCACTGCTCTTCTGAAATCCACAAAAACTACACTATGTGACGTTAAGTGCCATTGAAATGGTTAATAGCCCATACTTCGACTACAAAACATCCTCCTACACACTACAATCTTTAAAAATATACAACGTTGGAGATGAAGCTCACAAACTACATACATTTATAGCAACATGATTAATACTGCAAAAATGGAGGTGTTGATAATGTGGCTCTGAAACTGCTTTGAACATGATGCTGTTTTAAATACTGCAAAGATCAGCAAGAAAAGCTGATACGATAAATCCTGGATTTTGGTATTTGATAAAAGGAGATAATGTAATTTGAGGAAGCATCAGATGGTGGTGGACTGTGGTGGAGTCACAGGTTGTTTTGGCACTCAGAGTGAAAGAATAAATACTCCTGCATGCAGATTATCTTATAATAAAGGGTTGTTACTTGTCAGAAGCAGAAAATGGCAAAGAGGAGGCCTCAATACCTAACCTCCAGTCAAAGGCTGGTATTCAGGTGGCACACAGACCTCCACAGATTTAGCCCTTGAGCAGGATTGCTGTTGATTCTTATTGATATTGTAGCGTTATGATTGGTTGGTAGGGTGGGTTTATAATCTGACTGGTGCATTCATGGCTTCCTTGTAGTCACTGGGAACAGGAGGTGGCTGATTCAGTCGCACTGTCCACCTCCAGATTCAATCTTCCTGGCTGCAGGACCCAGCTCTACCTTGCACACCCTCTGGGCAAACTTCAGTGAGCACAATGTCTCTCCCACATTACTCTCCAGCGCAGACACCTTCAGTAGAAACAGTTAAAACGAAACAACAAGCATCAGCCAAGACTTAAAATGTAATTAACTGTGAGTTTGTCATATCTCTGTGGCTGAAAATGTATAGATTTGAGGCAGTAATCTCACCTGCACCACCATGACAGTCTTGCTGCCTTTGCCCAGGGAGTCTTGTAATAAGTATGTAAGGCGGGAGTTCCTGAAAGGGATATGAGTCTGCCGAGCTCTCAGTGCCTGAATTACATCCCCCAGTGACAGCAGGGAGCGGTTGATATTCTGGGCCTCTTTCAGCCTCTCTCCCTCTGCACCAGATTTCCATACCCTCTCCGAGCCGGCCAAGTCCACCAGGTTCAACTTGCCTGAGGAAAAAACAATTAAATTCAAAGGAAAAAATGAGACAAAGAAGATGGTCATCCCTGGACCCACATGTGTCTGAGTGAATCCTGATCAGAAGCTTCTCTTTTGTGTTTTTTCTCTTTGCTCCCATTCTCAGCCTTTCTTCTGCTTAAAAGCTGCAGACATCCCTTGGGAAATTGTTTTTGATTCAGCATTATGCAGATGCACTCAGCTTTAATAAAACAGAGAGGGAGTCAAAGAGTAATGCCAAATCTGATTTAGATTTATATCAAATATTAATAGGAAGACTGCCTCTAGAAGGTGAAATGCATGTGAGACTGACCGGTGGTTTTGGATCCGGTGGCGAGGTCAGTGCCCTGAACGGTGATGCAGAGCAGAGCATGGGAGCGGGAGCTGTGCTGGTTCATCTGAGTGCCAAAGGTGATCCTGTTCCTTCGGGCTGTAGCTAAAATCTTGAATAAAAGGAAAACAAACATAGATTTAATGATTTATTCTCATATACGGATGGTAATTCACTATCAGTATGGGTTATTTAAAACACTGTGTCACCTTCTTGATGTGCTGAAAGCTCTTAACTTCGATGACCCTGAGGCCCGGCACATGCAGCTGTCCTGTTCCGTCCGGGTTAATCTTAATGTCCAGTTTCTCTCCGTCCTTACTCAGCAGGTCTCTGAGAAACAAAACAACAACAAAAGAATAAGTAGCTGTAAGTAGGTGTAATATTTAGCAGGCTAAAAGGACATCCAAAGAAAAGTGGAGCATACTGTACCTTAGCACCTCGTTGTAGATCTCCACAGAGCTGACGGTGACCGTGTAAGACCACATGTCCTTCCTTTCCTCAATCTCACTGAAGAGATGTTTCAGGGCTCGTTGGTTGATGCCTGGGTTTTCCACACTGCCCTGAAAAGCAAATGATGCTTAGCCTGCAGCCTACATTGTAGATCATCACTTTTTTGGTATGGAAGCCCATTTGCATCAGTGTGATGGAAAAAAAATCTGTGTTACGTGTTATATTAAGTATGATTTTTTTCTCAGTCACGTCCAAAACTATTTCATTTCTGAGATTTAATATTCAAGAATTTTTCAACAATGTTTGGACAGCTGGTTGCCCCATATCTGGAGTAACTCCTCTATATGTTAACTTAAGTACAGCCCAAGTGGACATTGTCTCTTTCTGCTCACTTGTGGCCAGAAGGCTCATCCTGTGTAAATGGATGTGACTCTTCATCTCCAGCATATGGACATTGGACCAAGGATGTTATATGCAATTTACAACTGGAGAAAGTTGAAAATTTGTAATTAAACATTCTATACTCCCCTACTTATGTCACAAGCCAATTAACTTGTTGTCATTTTTTCCTGTTTTATTTTTTTTTAATATACATATAATTTTTTTTAATTATTTTTGTTCTTTATTTATTTACTCATTCATTCATTTATTCTTCTTTCTTGTCTATTAGATTTCCTTTGAGTGGTCTCACTTTCTCTGTTGGTTCCTGGGTTGACAGGTGGGTGGGGTTGTCTTTCTTTCCTTTTTTTAGCCATTGAGCTCTTTAGTAGAGGCGTTTGTAATGGTGCTACTGTTCCCTTGCACACCGTACAAATCCTTTGTTCTTCCAACATTGTGTTATGTTTTTAATGTGCTAACTGGCTAACTAACATCTTGAAGCCCTCCTGTCAGTCTTCCAGTTTTCCTTCTTGAATGACAAATGCAGACTATCACCACCTGCTGGTATGGGGAATTATTTCCTCTCATGCAGGCGTACATGCTAGTTGGCTGTTAGCTGTAGTTTTGGAGTGTGTTCAAGCACAACTTTTTGGCTGAGACAAAGGAAACATGAGGTCGTGCAACAGTTGGCTTTTGTCGTTACTAGCTCTTTGATGTCGGTTTGGTGTGTCTGGGCCTTCAGTCATTAAAATTCATTCAAAGTCATTCAAGAATTCTGACTTAATACCTCAAAATAAAGATACCAAGTCATTATTTTTGAGAAAGCTTCTCATTATACTGACTTACAGGATCTGTTTTTTTTTCATCAAACTGGCAGAAATGGGCGTCCATACTTTAGCGACAACAATGCTGTATAATCAGTGTACCTCCATGGTGTACGTTTTTCCAGAGCCAGTCTGTCCATATGCAAATATGCAGACATGGTAGCCATCGATGCAGGACGTCACAAGAGGCTCAATTTCCTGAAAGACCTGAAGAAACCAAACAAAATGTTAGAGTTGTTGAACATTTATGTGCATTTCCTGCATATGCTGTTCATTTTCACACCTCTTCCTGTGTGGCCTGAGGGTGGAAGACCTTGTCCAGTTCAAAGATGCGACCCTTTCCTTTGTTCAGCACGTTGAGCGAGGACTCGTTGTTGGGGTCCGTTGTCACCACCACAGACTGGCCCTCCTCGCGCTGGTCCTCTTTCAGCACAGGCTTCACACGACACAGCACGCGGATGTTGCCTAAAACAGAGGGCCCAGTTAATGACACAGATTTTATTTTCTGCAGTGGATTTTATTTCGTCATCTCTGCATACCTTTAAGCTCCACCAGCTGCTCGTGGTACTTCCTGCGCAGTGCGACCTCCTTCCTATATTTCTCCAGGAGATCTTTGTTGGCTTCAGACATCTCGGTGATAGCTGCTGAAATCTGACAAGAGACAGCAAAAATTATTTTACTAGGCTTCTCAGTTTGGTAAGGTTTATCACCCCTGAAATACAGGGGACTGAGTCATGTTGTCATGTCATGTACGTACCTGTTTTTTTGCATCACTGATAGCTGCACCATAAAAGTCTGAGAAGTTACGAACTTGGCTCCTCAGACTGGCGTAGTCTGTCTTCATGGAGCGTAAAGTTGGAGGGAGTGCTGTCAGACGCTTCTGCAAGCCTGACATAAACAGAAACCCATCTTTAAATTTTGTCTCAATAAATGTATATTAAAGGAGTAGTTTAGCATTTTGGGAAACATGATCTCTGTCTTTGCAGGTTTATTTGTTGTGACTCACAGAAGAATTGGTCCTGCAGGCTCTGAAAGTGCTCAGCCGAGCAGGTGGCTGCAGCCTTCACAGCCTCTTCCTTCCTCTCCTCCAAGTGGCCAATCTCTTTCAGCAGCTCCTCTCTCAGTGTACTGATTTCTCGCTCATACGCTGCAATCTGTAAAAGGTTCAGCGCAGCAATTTGTCAATCTGTCAGGTGGACTGGTCCAATCTGTGCAGGCTCAGCTCTGTAACGAGTTCATCTGTCAATGAAATTGATCCTGGGTGTGAATTTCTCATAGCAAAGTGGAAGCTTCCTTCTTCTGCCTTTGATTTTTCTCCTCTTTGATCATCTGTTCTCTAAACAGAGTGTGCTTTATTTAACCCTCTGGACTTTTCGATTCTGTCTCTTCAACTTTCTAAATCAGAGTTGGTGGCATCAGGAGGACCATCTGGGATTTGTTGCCAGTTTCCTTAACTCCTACTGGCCAGCAGCCAACAGCAATAATATATATGTGTACTGATGCATTATTATGGAGCACTATTGTGAGAGCCCACTTTATAATATGTGTTCAACTTGTTGTTGCCTGGGACATGTTCAAAAACTAGTGTATTTACTTCTAAAAAACACAGATACTGCATGTTAACATCGGTTTAATCTGTGACTTTATACTTAAAAGTGGATATGAGAGATTAACACCAGACTAATTCAGGGTGAAGTCTGTGGCTACTGTTTCTGACCTTGTGCTGCAGAT